ACTCCGTGCCGCCGAGTCCCCGTGGCTGTGGCCGTGGGCTTCTGGCAGGAAACTACGGCCGCAGCTCGGCAGCACGGGGGCGTCGCAGCGTGCCGCCGCCGCCGCCGCGCTGCCCCCCGGGCACGGCGGCGGCGGCAGCAAGCTTGGGCCCAAACGCCGTGCCGCCGAGTCCCGTGGCTGCGACCGTAGACCGTGGGCCGGAAACTGCGGCCGCAGCTCGGCGGCACGTGGTTCTGGTCAAATCGCCAAGCGTGCAGCAGCGCCGAACCACGCTTCCCGGCCTCGGCGCATGCCTTCAGGGGCCCCCTATCGCTGGGCACACCCCTCCAACACCGAACATGCGCCCGGGGGGGAGGGCGGCCCGGGCTGCCCAGGCCAAAGTGGGCCGCCCTCGAGCAAGAGGCGGCCGGGCTGTGTGCTGAATGAATCAGCATACTCCTCCCTCAGCCCAGCGTATAGGGGGCAGTCATACACTGCGTGGCGTACGTCCTCTAGAGGGGCCTGGCAGTGGGGGCATGGGCGATGATCGAGACCATAGTCTTCATTTTGGTGTCCGGCGCCGTCTATGAGGTACTGGCCGCCTTCCTGGCCCTGGTGGACACCCAGCTTCAGCTGCACATGCTCGTGGAGGAGGAGACGGGCCCATCCTCCTGACAAGCGCCAGGGCAGGCCTGACTTGAATTGTTGCACCCGGTACATAAATCGCATGGTATGACAGGCCCTAACTGGTTGTGCAGCCGAGTGTAAGAGAGATGAACGAACCGAGACGCGTGAGGGGAAAGGGCGGTCGGGAAGGGGCGACATGGCTGGCTGGCGGTGGCGCGTGATTGTCGTGAGTGGCTCGTGAGGGGGCTGTGGGGATGTGGGATTGCAACAGCCGTCCTTCGTACGTGCAGCAAGCACAGCAGGCACATGTGGAGGCCAGGGTGCATGCTCCAGCTGCCCAGCTGCCTGGAGAAAGGCGGCAAGCCAGACCGTGCGCCGTGCCGCACGCTGCACTGGGCATGCTGCGCCTGCCTTTCGCAGCGTCGCCGCCCCAAGACGCCCTCGCGCGCTTTTACACACCCATGCCAGGCACGCAGTCGGGCTGTTCCTGGCCTGTACACATAAGTGCCCAATATAATTGATGCCTGGCAGTGCCAAGACAGGTCCCGTCTGTGGATTGGTGCATGATGCCTCACCCAAGGGCAGCTTCCCTTTCCCAGTCGGATGATCTGCTGGTGTCCCTTTCTCAACCTGAGTTGTCAATCAGCTCAATACCTGCGAGCCCAGTAAGGACGCCGTGTGCTGGTGTGTGGCGGCGGGTGGCGGGCGGCCATGGCAGCGTGCACGGCAGCGCCACATGTGGCCACATCAAACCCGCGAATATGTCCGCGGACATATCCCATGCTGATTCATAGCGAGTACTTGGCGCCTGATTAACCCTCCTCAGCCGCCCAGAGGCACACACTCAAAACCGGGCGAAGCGATCGGGGTGTCTGGAGGCCCTGCCGTCGATCCAGAGCGGCCTGCGTGGCTGTGGGATTCATCTTCTGGCCTGCTGGGGCGCCATGGGGGAGGCCGAGGCGGTGCCCCGCATTCTGCTGCTGGACGAGGCGGTGGTGAACCGCATCGCGGCCGGGGAAATCATCCAGGCGCGTGACTTTGCCTGCCACGCTCCCGAGCTCCGAGCGCCGCCGCCCATGCCGCCGCTGCCGCTGCCGCTGCCATTGCCTCGACGGCCTTCCGCCGCCTGACGCTGTGCTGCCTGTGGCCCTGCAGAGGCCAGCCAGCGCCCTCAAGGAGATGCTGGAGAACAGCTTGGATGCCGGGGCCACGCAAATAATGTGGGTCTGTGGGTGCTGCCGCGCCCGGCGAGCCTCTGTTCCATCTCCTGCCCGCCTGCACTGCCTGTGGCAAACGCCGCCTGCCTGCCTGCCTGCCCGACCCTCGTTCCCCTGCCCCAGGCTGGCTGCCCGTGCCGCGGGACAGCCCTTCACCTGCCCTCCTCCAACCGTGCCTGCCCCGCCCCGCCCCGCCCCGCCCCACCCGCAGCGTCACCGTCAAGGACGGCGGAAAGGCGCTGCTGCAGATACAGGACAACGGGCACGGCATACGGGTGCGCGGCGCTGGCCTGGTGCTGGTGCTGGTGCTGGGGTGGGGCGTGGTGGGGCGCTGGTGCAGCTGCAGTGTGGTGCTGGTGCTGGGGTGTTGTGTGGTGGGGTGCTGGCGTGGTGCTGCTGCTGGTGTGGTGTGTGGTGCGGCGCTGCGTGGTGTGGCGGGGCGTGTGTTCCTGTGTTACCGCCCGGCCGTACCGCCTGTTTGTACCGCAGAAGGATGACCTGCCCATCCTGTGCCAGCGCCACACCACCAGCAAGCTGCGGGAGTTTGAGGATCTGCTGGGCATACAGACCCTGGGGTTCAGGTGCGCAGGGCGGCTCGGTTGCACCCCAGGAAGGCAGGCGAGGGCGCCCGCGGCGGCAGGGGGACGCGGGCCAGCTCAGCGCCTCGCCGCTCCCACGCGCGGCTGGCGCCGCAGCCTTGCATGCTTTGCGCACCAGTTGCTCTTTGCTTCAGTCCTCCCCCGCCCCCCCGTGGCTGCCCCAAAAACCTGCGCGGCGCCAGCCGCTGCTGCGGCGGCTGCTGCGGCGGCTGCGGCGGCTGCCTCCCTCCTACCACCGCCGCTTGCGCATGCGCCGACCTTGCTGTGCCGCTGCGGCTGCTACCTCTGCCGCTGCTGATGCTGATGCTGCTGTTGCCGCTGATGCTGCTGCCGCCGCGCTGATGCTGATGCTGCTGCCATTCTGCCCCCACGCCGCGCCTGCCTGCCCCCCGCAGGGGCGAGGCTCTGGCCAGCATCTCGTTTGTGGCCCGCCTGTCCGTCACCACAATGACGGAGGGCGCGGTGCACGGCTGGCGCGCCTCCTACACAGACGGTGGGTGGGTGTTGCTGCTGGTGGTGGTGGTGGTGGTGTGGTGTGTGAGGAGGTGGTGGTGGTGTGTGTGTGTGGTGCTGGGTGGTGGTGGGTGACGGGGAGAAAGGCGGCCCACACAGACGGTGGTTGCTAGCGGTGGTGGCGGCAGTGGTGGCTAGGGGGGAGGAGGGCCCTGCCCGGCTGGGTGGCTGGGTGGCGCCAGGGGGTGCTTGCTGGGAGCGGCGGGGCTGGTCACAGGGTCGGCTGGAGGGCAGGGGAGGGAGAGGTTGGGTGCGGGGTGCTTGCGCAGCAGCGGTTTTACCAGTAGCAACATTGCAGCAACGCAAGAGTGGGAGGCGGGGCACGCACAACGCCGGGCTGGCCCCTGGCCCTCCTCGCCGCGCCGCCGCCCAGCCCCGCGTCGCCCGCCGCCGCCGCTGCCACCCCGCTGCAGGCGTGCTGGAGGCGCCCGGCCCGCGGCCCACCGCCGCCAACCGCGGCACGCTCATATCAGTGGAGGACCTGTTCTGGAACGTTCCGCTGCGGAAGAAGGTGGGCGGAGGCTGGGTGGTGGGGCGGGGAGGGGGCCACTGTTTGGGGCTCGGCACAAAGGGAGCGCCTGTGCTGGAGTGCACCTGTGAAGACAGGAGGTGGGGCAAAAACGGTGGAGGCTGGCTGCCTGCGGGAGGAGCCGCCCGCCCGGGTGGCCTGCGCCCCAAGCCTGCGCGCTTCCCCAGTCCACAGTATCCATCCCACGTGTCTGCTTCGTCCGCGGTGCTTCTCTAGCCAGCCAGCGGCCCCGCTCCACCCCACGGCATGCCGCCTGCCTGCCCGCCGCCCGCCCGGCTGGCCTGCAGGCGCTCAAGGGGGTGGGCGAGGAGTACCGCCACATCCTGGACGTGATGGGGCGGTACGCAGGTACTGTACCGCACGGCACGCTGGCGCCATGGCGTGCCCGCTCAGACGGCCGAGGGCGCTCGCCGCGCGCCGCCTGGCAGCGCCGGTGCCCCCTCTGGACGCTCCTCCCGCCGCCACCTTGGCACCACAGCAGCAGCAGCAGCAGCAGCAGCAGCACACCGCCCGCCCACAGCCGCCGCTCCCCCGCTTCCCCCACCCGCTGCCCCTGCCCCGCAGTGTACAAGGCGGGGGTGTCCCTGACCTGCAAGCGGCAGGGAGAGGCGCGCTCGGACCTGCACACGCTCGCCGGCGCCAGCCGCCTGGACTGCATCCGGTGTGTGTGGCCAGGGGGGTGGCTGGGTGGCTGTACTGTGTGTGTGTGTGTGTGTGTGTGTGTGTGTGTAGAACTGGGCTGGTTGGCTGTGGGAGTGGGGGGAGTGGGGAGGCGGGCCAGCAGGTGAGGGCCCGCGGGTGGCGCTCGGTGGCGCGGGGGTGCCTCCTCGTCTTCCGCAGGCGCCCGCCCGCTGCCGCCCTCGCATGCGCACGCCTTCCTTCGCGCACACAGCCAACACACCGTCAGCGCTGGCGTGCCGTGCGCCGGAGAGTGCAACGCGCAGCCTGGTTGGTTAAGCCGCTGCTGGAGGCGAGGCCTCCTCGTCTCCCGGTACCGACCTCCCCCGCTCACCCTGGGCGCATGTACCGCCTGTACCGCCTCCCCCTGCCCCGCAGCACGGCACCCGCCTCTACCTGGCGGACGTGCAGCGCCTGTCGGCAGACATGTTCTACCAGCAGGCGAGGCAGCTGCTGCGCAGCTGCCGCGCAGCCGGGCGCCGGCACCGCCGCCGCCGTCCTTGTGCGGTGCCACCGCGGCATGCCTCCTGTGCGGTGCCCAGCTCCTCGCTGCGGCTGCCTCCATGCCGACCCGCCCTCCCTGCCTGCCAACTAGCTGACCCTTGCGCCGCTTGTGCCGCCTGTACCGCCTGCGCCCCCCTCCCGCAGGCCCTGCGCCGCTTCGGCTCGCCGCGCCGCATCCTCCTGTCGCCGCCGCTGCCTGTGGAGGGGCTGGTGGTGGCGGCGCTAGAGGCGGAGGAGGTGCTGGGACGGTGGCAGGTGCGGCTGCGGCTGGGCCATGCCAGAGGGAATGCCAGAGGGGGTGCCAGAGGGCGGGGCAGCAAGAGCTGGGTCGGGGCGCGGCGCTCCAGAGCAAGTAGCACACACCAGTGGCCTGCGCCAAACCGCCAGTCCAGGCCTCTTCACCTCCTCACCTCCTCCCAACAGGCGCCCTGCTCTCCTCCCCTCCCGCCCACACACACAGGACTCCCCCGAGGCCGGCACCAAGGGCGAGGTGGCGGCCCTGCTGCTGCAGCTGCTGCGCCAGAAGGCTGCGCTGCTGCGCGACTGCTTCGGCGTCGGCGTCGACGCGGGTGCGGCGGGGTGGGGCTGGCGGGTGGCTGGGGTGTGTGGCTGGGGGTGTGTGGCTGGGGGTGTGCCTAGTGGTGTCGTTGGAGCTGTGTGGGGGGGGTGCGACAAGCCATCCGCCATGTGTGTTTCTTCTTTCTGTCTTTCTTCCTCCGATCATACATGCCCATGTCCTTCTGCTTACTTTCTTCCGACGATCAGGCACTGGATCACACCACCCACCTCTCCTCGCAACCACCCGCCACCCACCGCCCACCGCAGCCACCCACCGCAGCCGCTGCCTCTGCCCCCCCTGCGCAGACGGCTGCCTGAGCTCGCTGCCACAGCTGATCGAGGGGTACACGCCAGACCTGGGTGAGGAAAGCAGCAGCAGGAAGAGAGGAGGGAGGCTGCTTGGCTGGCCGGCACTGCAGGCCGGCTGTCAAAGCCGGGCGCTTGTGGCAGCCGCGCGCTGCTGGCTCCATGTTGCTGTTGGCTCCATGCTGCCAGGCACGGCGATGCGAGACTGTGCGCGGTCCTGTGCCCACTAGACAAACAC